AGTTCAATGAGAAGTTCTCAACAAACCTGTAAAGAAAGCCCTACTACATTAAAAATAAATGATAAGAGAGGAACAGAAATAATTTAAAACTTAGAATGATAAAGAGGAGAAAAAGGAGTCTGAAAATATCTCTCTCTCTGCTTGGCAAACAAAAATTATTCCAATTTTCATATGTCTAGAGCTGGCAACAAAAAGTTCATACCATTTTCCAAAGCAATCACACTGATATTTCTTTTATCTCTGGTACTTAGATGCTCACAATGTAATGCGACTAACACCTTAGAGCCCTGGTCTCTATGTCAGCAACAGCATAAGCAACAGATTCCACAGAACAGCATTCCCAAAAAACAGCACAGAAAGATCAGCAATTCAAATATTGGAACAAAAGAGAAGACAGCATATGTCAGCTGTAGAATTATTTAATCTCTTTTTTATTCATTCATTTACTGAAAAGAGAATGCTTACTGGCCATACCTTTGAAAGGCAATATATGTCCCATCAGCTGGGATTGATCTTGAAAATGAGGAAGGAGAGAAGGCTGGGGGTAGCCCAAGAAAGCTGAGCAAGTGACAGCTTCTTAGTACTGTGAAGGGTGAGGACATCTGCTGAGGTGGCCTATGAGCTTTAGTCGGTAGAAGAGTTTGGCAATAAACTTGAGGACCATGGTGCTTTAAATAAGGTTTCAGGCTGGCCAGTTAACACAGATGGGTTGGAGCATGGTGCTGATAACACTAAGGTCCAGGTTTCAATCCTTGTACCAGCCAGTCGTGGCACCCCCAAAAATAAATAAATAAATAAAGTTTCAGATTAGAGGATGGCCAGCTGTTGTCATGAAAGCTGACAGCAAAGGAGCCAGAAAACCTAAAGAGCAAACCAAAATCTGAGGTATAGGCTCAATCATTTATATTTCCTTGAGTTCATTTTTGAGACTAATAATAATTCATATTCATAATGATGACCTGGAATGACTCAGAAGGTAGTAAATTTCGTTCAATTAGTTCTTAAGAAATGCAGCATAAAGAAAATTATTTTTTGAAAGATTTTTGTGAAAAAATTGCTACATATTTTTAACATCCTTATTGCAGTATAATTAACAAAACCATCACATACTCATTACCTCCAAAAGATTACTTACGCCCCTTTGTAATGTCTTCCTCTCATATCTCTCTGCCTCCACAACCAATCCCTAGGCAATCAGACTGACCTGCTGTCACTGCAGACTAGTTTTCATTTTCTATACTTTATATAAATGGAATCATACATTACACACTCTTTTTTGTTTGGTTTCTCTCACTCAGAATAATTATTTTTAAATCTATCCATATTGCTGTGTATCAGTAGGTCATTCTTTTTAAATTTCTAAATAGAATTCCATTATAAGAATGTACCACCATTTGTTTAACTCTCACTGACTCATATATATTTGAGTTGTTTCCAGCTTAGGGCTATTAACAATAAAGTTCCTAAGAACATTAATGTATATGTCTTTCTGTGGACATATTCTTTTATTTCTCTTGGATTAATACCTAGGAGAGGAATGACTGGATCAGACAGTATGTGTATGTTTTACATTTTAAGAACCTGCCAAATTTTTTTCCAAAGTGATTGTAGCATTTTATATTTCTACCAGAAGTGTATGAGAGTTTCAGTAGCTCCACATCTACACCAACACACTGGTCAGTCATTTTAAGTTTAGACATCCTAATAAGTATGTAATGATATCTCAATGTAGTTTTAATTTGTATTTTCCTAACAACTTATGATGTTGAGCATATTTTCATGGGTTTATTTCCCATGTATATATCTTTTTTGGTGAAATAGCTGTCCAAATATTTGGCCCATTTTAAAATTGGTAATTTGTTTTCTTATTATTCAGTTCTGAGTGTTCTTTATATATTCATAATACATATCTTTTATCAGATATGTAATTCTCAAATTTTTTTCCCAGTCTGTGGCTTGTCTTTTAATTCTCTTGAATGAAGAGCAGAAGTTCTTAATTTTGATGGAGTCCAATTTAATTTGTTCTTTTATAGATCATGTACTTGGTGTTGCATCTAAGAAATTTTTGCCTAATTTAAGGCCAGAAAGAATTTTCTATCATGTTTTCTTCTAGAACTTTTTTAGTTTTAGGCTTTACATTTAGGTCTGTGATACATTTTGAGTTAATTTTTGTGTATGATGTGAGGGGTTCTTTTTTCTTTCATATCCCACTGTAACATCACCATTTGTTGAAATGACTATCCTTTCTCCATTGGATTGCCTTTGCTACCTTGTCGAAGATTGGTTGACTCAATATGTATTTGTCTATTTCTGTTCCATTGATCTATTTTCATGCCAGTACCACACTGACTTGATTACTATAAGACTTAAAATCAGGCAAAATTAGACTCCTACTTTCTTTTTTTTAAGTTGTTTACCTGTTCCAAGCCCTTTACATTTTCATATGAATTTTAGAATTACCTTGTCAATTTCTACATAAAACCTGCTTGAATTTAGATTGGGATTGCATTGAATCTCTCAATCAATTCAGGAAGAATTTAAATCTTTAAAATATTGAGTCTTCAAATCCATGAAGACAGTATATCTGTTCATTTGTTTAGGTCTTCTTTAATCTCTCTCACACTATTTTATAGTTTTAAGAGTACAAGCCTTGCACATCTTTTGTTAGATTTATCCCTAAATATTTCATACTTTTAAGTCCATTATAAATGGTTTTATTTTTTAAATGCAATTTCACATTGTTTGTTGCTAGTATATAGAAATACAATTTTATTTGTATACTGATCTTGTATCCTGCAAACTTGCTAACTCACTTATTAGTTCTGATAGCTTTTTTGTAGAGTCCATAAGATTTTCCACACAGATGATTTATGATTAAAGACAATTTTAATTCTTTCTTTCTAAACTAGATGCTTTCTCTTTCTTTTTCTTGCCTTATTGCACTGACTACAATGTCCAGTTGAATGGAAGAGCAATAACAATCTTGTTTTGTTCCTATCTTAGGGAGAAAGCATTGTGTCTTTAAGTATGATGTTAGCTGTATGTTTTTTCATAAATGATCTTAATCAGACTGAGGAAGTTCCCCTTTTATTCCTAGTTTGCTAAGAATTTTTTGTTTTTGTTTTTTTTAATAAGAAATAGGTATTGGATTTTGTAATGTGCTTTTTCTGCATCTTCTGAGATGATCATGTGGTTGTTATTTTTAAGTTTGTTAATACAGTGATTTATACTGATTAATTTGCAAATGTTAAACTAATCTTGCATTCCTGGGATAAGATAAACCTCACTTGGTAATGAAGTATAATCTTTTTATGATTTGTAGGATTTGATTTG